TTTCTGTGTGCAATGAGTTACATAGCAATAGGTATTGACTATAAGCTTGTGGGTAGCAATTAGTAGCCACAGCAATAGCCTGAGTTGTTACATGTGGTGCCATTGGTCAACACTTCCATTAGATACAGTTCATTCCTGGCAATGGAAGCTTCACTTGGTGGGGGAAAAATGTCTATTTAAGGCTTTGTCTTTTCTGTTATTTAGTGATTCTTTCATATAAGTATAGTTTTTAAGAAGCTACTCCTTTAGTAGGTTTCCATACGACCCCCTCAAATAGACATTAGTGTTAGTTGTCCCTCCATAAATACCCTTCCTTACCAGCCTCTTCCTTCACCCTCTTCATTTAATCTTACCATTTAACTATATATTTTATTTCCCTTTCCTAAGGAGATCTTCCCCTGGCCCCTACTCCCTTACTTTATACAAAACGTTTATAGTTATATATGCTATACCATGTTGTACTAATAGAAGACACAGCCAATAACCCACATGTAAGAAAATGCATGACATTTTTGTCATTTTTAAACTAGGTTGAATTTAGAAAAATCTTAGGATAATTATTTTTCTAGTTACATCTGTTTACCTGGGATTTTCACAACAGCCTCAAAAAAAACTTCCTCAGTATAAATCTATAAATCTAAACAAGTCAGTGAAAGACCTGTATAATAAAAATTTTAAGACATTTAGAAAGAAATTCAAGAAGATATTAGAATTTGAAAAGATCTCCCATGATAATAGGTTAATATAGTGGAAATTTTCTCTGCTCCCCTCCCTTCCTCTCACTTCTCCTTCAACCCTCTCCCCTGGTCCCCATGCTCCCAATTTACTCAGGAGATCTTATCTTTTTCTGATTCCCATGTAGATTAGATCCATGTATGTGTCTCTTGATGTCTAGGTTCTCTGGGATTGTGAATTGTAGGATAGTTTTCTTTACTTTATGTCTAAAAGACACTTATGAGTTAGTAATATGTTATTTGTTTTCTGGGTCTGGGCTACCTCACTCAATATGACGTTTTCTAGATCCATCCATTTGCCTCCAAATTTCAAGATCTCATTATTTTTCTGCTGTGTAGTACTCCATTGTATAAATGCACCACATTTTCCTTATCCATGAACATTGATGCCAAAATACTCAATAATATAAAATTGATTTTATTTCCTTCTTTCAGATTTATACCCACTAGCAATATTGCTGGATTCATGCTATCCTATTTTCATTTCTATAGCCTCTATGCTACTTTCTATAAGGAATGTACTGAATTTACCTGGCTACTATATAATTTATTCATAA